CTGGCCAGCACCTGTATAAGAGAGGAAAAAAGGACAGAGAGAAAAAGAGAGGGAGAGAGAAAGAGTGAGAGGGGGAGAGATAGAGGGGGAGAGGGAGAGGGGGAGAGAGTGAAAAAAAAAACCCCGACCGGAGCGGAGGCAGGCAGCTACTAACGCAGCACGTCACTCTGTTTTGCCAATGCACGACGTACGTTACAAAAAAAGTAACTTTAAATATTAAACTGAAAACGAGGCGAGCTGAAAAAAACCTAGGGACTGCTGCAGTGAAGCAAGCACAGAGAGATCCGTTCCTGTCTGTCTGTGTGTGTGTGTGTGCGTGGATGCATGTGCCGGACTGAGCTCCCGGCTGCTGCTGACTGAGTTTTGTGTGTAGGGAGGGGCGGGCGCTCTATTTGACCGGCCAATCACAGAGCGTGAAGACAGTCAGTTACCCAATGAGGATTTTCCTTCTGAACGATTACGGATATTGACGAGTTTTACTCGGTTCATGCTCGTACTCGTCAAAAATGCTTTATCCGTACCGGATACTCGTCTGAAACGAGTATCCGGTTCATCCCTAATAACAGTGCTTTAAGATGATTGTTTACTAAATTAAAGCAACAACAATCTGTACTCTCAGCACGCTGCCATCTTATATTAACTGAGCAGGGAGTGAGGTGGTGGGGGCTCCAAGCCTATATTTGCCTTGGTCCCCAAATGCCTTGATACGGCCCTGGATGTGGGACTGACTTCTGGGGTGATCTGATTCTATCACATGTATAAATATTAAATGCTTATATATTATTGCTTTTCACTGGTAAAAATGTGTACTGGGGATAAATCTACCTACTTTTTTCTTTTTTTTCTTGGTTTTATATGAATAATTTCCGGCCCTTTCTCTCTCTAACCTTCCTGCATGCTGCATGTTTTCTCCGTCTTCCAGAAAAAAACTGTTTCCTAGACTTCCTACTTTCTAACGATCAGCCAAAGGGATCTTCACATGCGCGGCGCTCCAGCAGTAATGAGTTGAAATCACCGGGGCACAGATTAACTCAGATGAGGCAAAGCACGTCAGAAAAGCACAAAATACCAGAGAATATGCGCTGATAAAAACTTTCGCAGGTGAATTATTTTGTTTTAGTGGAGCGATTTAGTGAATGTTACAGCGGCCGCGTGCAGGACGCAGCTGGAGAAGATGAGCCGTTACCGCTGCGTCCTCTCTGCCCGCAAAGCTGAGTCCATAAATGACGTCATATATGCAGATACTGGATCTTTCTTCGGGTTTCCTGCAATTTGAATTTTTAAGGAACACATCTTGATTCTGGGTTTAAAAATGCATTGTAATTACCGCGTTACTGACAATTGTACCGAGTAAATATTACCATTTTCTTTCCCTGTAATGCCTTACATTACCCTATTACAGCAAAAAGCAATGCGTTACAGTAATTAATTACTTTTGTACCGCATTACTCCCAACACGGATCCTGAGCACCTTCAAAGGAATCTCCTACCATCTTTATGCAGATGACATCCAACTGTACATCTCCTTTAAGCCCCATGAGATGTCTAAGCTGCAGCTGTTATACACCTGCTTAGACTCTATCAAAACCTGGATGGTGGGAGCTTTCTACAGCTGAATGAAGATAAGACTGAGATCCTCATCTGTGCCCCAGACAAGCTGGTTCCCAAAGTCAGAGACTCTCTTGGTCAGCTTGCTTCCCACACCAAACCTTCTGTCAGCGTGACCTTTGACCCAGCTCTCACCCTGGATTCTCATGTCAGCTCTCTTGTTCGCTCTTCCTTCTTCCATCTCAGGAACATTGCCAAGCTGAGTCTCATTCTGTCCCGCTCTGAACTTGAGACAGTTCTCCACACCTTCATCTCCTCACGCTTAGACTACTGTAACTCTCTTTTCACGTGTCTGAGCAGAACCTCCCTGAACCGTCTACAGGTGGTTCAGAACGCCTGTGCTCGGCTTCTGACCAAGTCCTCCAAACACACCCACATCACCCCGCTTCTCCTCCAGCTTCACTGGCTGCCAGTCAACTTCAGGGTTCATTTCAAGATCCTGGTTCTGGTCTATAGGGCCTTACATGGACAAGCACCATCTTACATTGGTGATCTTCTTAGTCCCTACACCCCCAGCAGGTCCCTGAGGTCCAGTGGTCAAAGCCTATTGGTTGTGCAGCACCAGGCTAAAGGTCAAAGGTGACAGATCATTTGCTGCTGTGGCCCCCAGACTCTGGAACTCTCTCCCCCTGAGCCTAAGATCAGTGGACTCAGTGGTCTCCTTTAAAAAGCAGCTGAAGACTCACATGGTAGCCTTGGGGAGGCTTTCACCACCCAGCCGGTCTTGGACAGCAAGGGATCCCCTGCACAGCTTCAGCCTGAACAGGCAGCCACCTCTCTGATTATCGGTGATTCCATAATCAGGAATGTGCCAATGGAAGGGGCCTGGACTCTGTTTTCCCAGAGCAACAGTGTCAGACATCACGGATCAGATCTTGGACATCATTCAACAACACCCCACTGTGAGTAAAGTTATCCTTCACACAGGCACCAACGACATCCACAAACAGTCAGAACTGCTCAAATGGGATTTTATTCGCCTTTTTAACATATTAAAGAGCCCGTGTCAGTTCCAGCAAACATCCGGACGTTTAATCAACGTTTAAAAGATGTCGGGCCGACACGTCCCGTCATGGTTGAAAAATAGTTCCAAAATGAAAGTTGAACAGACGTCTTTTCTGGACGTGATCACGTCTTTCAGCTCGTCTCATTTGGACGTTTAATGACCGTCAGTGTACATCTCATCTACACTGTAAAATAAAATGTAGTTATTACATTTAATAATAACTATAATGAATTGATTTCCTGTGTCTGACCTTGCTTTACCGATTGACTTCTGAGGTGGACATTTTTGTTTTTTTCTCATCAGCGGTCTTACCTGAGGACCCACAGTGAATGTTGGTACCCAGCAAACATTGTCCACGGTGTAACGTGATGAAGGAACCATTTCTCCCCTCTAACAGCTGTTCTGTTTGACTCAGTGTCAGTGTGCATGAAACAGCCTCAAGGTCATGCATTCACTTCTAATGTTTACGTTCCAGCAGTGAAGACAGAAGAACGAAGAATGAACTCTTTTCTTTTAATTAATCAAAGAACTCTACTTTAATAAAGCTAATCAAAACAACTGTTAGTCAACAATAACCATGTGACCGATCTGTGAAATCACAATGTTATGATTAATGTTTAATAACGAAATGACGTATTCTAGCCACTAGCCAGCTGATACACAAAAGATAAATAATCATGACACATTCCGGTCGCAAATCCAATCAGAACCTTCACTCTGAAGCGTGGCAGAGTCTCTGTGGTGTTTATTTAATCTGTCAGCTGTGATTCGTCCAGAATCGTAAACATCAAGATTAATAAGTCAGAACAACGCCATTTTGAGTTCAGTATTCAGCCAGCTCCCAAGATCCCCTGAAGTTCATCATTGCTAAGTGGAGTACGGACCGGCCATCTGTACTTTCTACTTTTAAGCTGAAAACTGCTTAAAAGCAGCAACTGACACGGGCTCTTTAATATGTTAAAAAGACAAATAAAATCCCATTTGAGCAGTTCTGACTGTTTGTGGATGTCGTTGCTGTTGGGAAATCCTGTCGTTATCAACAATACAACGTTTCCTTCAGAATAAAAGCTGAACTCGCTGACCCAAAGGGGGGCCCCTTTGACGCTGTGAAACACCTGCCGCTTTTTACCTGGAGACTATCCAAAGGCTGGTTTGTCGTGCTGAGGACGCTGTTTTATCGGCTCCAGGACCATTGGAAGGTCGTGAACCTGGCAGCCTGATCTAAGACGGAGGTCTCGCTGACGGGTAATGTAGAACGGCACAGATAGCGTCTCATGTTGTTTTCTGACCAAGGTTCAAACGTTGATCAGTTAGGAGCAAAACATCATCTCCCACTCAGACTCGCTTCTCCAGAACGGAGGTTCTGAGCTGACATCGCACCAACACACACTCCACCTCACATTCATTCCATCAGCATCCATCACTAGAGAGTTAGTCCTGTTAAACTGTTTAAAATCATTTAGATAATACATTTAGCTTAAAAGTTCTGAGGTCTCTCTCTTCTCTTGTCTCTCAGTTCATGCAAAGTGTATTAAATTTCCACTCTTCTGATTTAAATAGCCCAGTGTCCAGAGATGGGGTCCATACTAGATATGGATCATTAATATCTCTGGTCATTAATTAAAATTTAATTCTCTTTAACATCCATTACAACAGACAAACATGATCGTGTTAGGTAGGAGCCGTCATGACGGGACAAAAGGAGTCGTAGATAAAAAAAAAAAGCAAGTTGTTGGTAATGCTAAAATTGGTAAAAACCCAGTTAAAAGTCAATTTTGGTTACATTGAAACAGCTGACCATGCCCCCCCCCCCCCCCCACACACACACACACACACATCAGGTGATGGTGGCTCATTTATCTGACAGATGAACACATTCTACACATATTTAGCTTTTTCCAGTTGGTAATAATTGTGTTTAGGTTAAACAGCTGAACTTTAATCCAGTTTTAGTTACATAAATGTAGATTTTTGTAGTTTTTTATATAATTTCCAGCAAAATATGTGAATTAGCAAAATGCTAAAAGAATCTCAGTGACATGACAATCGAAACACGAGAAGAGAAAGCATATTTGTCACAAGGCTTCCTTCAAGTCGCCTCATTTTTAATATTAAAAAACTCAGATTTCAAATTTTAAACAAAAAAAGAGTTTAGAAGTTTGCAGACTGGCAGCACAGGAACACCTGAGTTCCACCACAGCAGATGAAAGACTAGATGTTAGCACTGTGCTAACAGTGACTTAGTGGGTTTAGGAAGAAAATGTAAGGTTTTCTACGACCACTGTGAATCAAATTTAGGACCTAGATGAATAAAATGACACGACTCATTGCAAAAACACATCAGGCCTTGTAGTTGTGTTAGTGTAAAGAAAACCAGACAGAACAATGAATGTCAGCAGCATTTATCAATAGATTTAAGAAGATGATGGAAGAAACACACCCTACGGGCACGTAGAAGCGGTAAATAAGTGTAGTTTTAAGACTTTATTTGGAACATATAGATGTTTTTTAGGCTTTCGGCTTTACGAAACCCAGCAGAAAGCTTGTTTTAAGACTCATTTGATAAAATCAAACATTTAATTTGAATGGGGACAAAGATCTGTGTGTGCTTTCAAAACATTGGAGATAGTTTGCTGGATGCTTTGAAGGATTTAGGTGTAAAATTTGTTTTATCACTTCACATATACATAATGTACACACACACACACACACCCACACACACCCAACATGACTTCATTATAAGAGTTTATAATTCAAACATCACCTATCCTACACACACTTAAAACCTCATTTACATGACGAGGATGCAGCAACAAACGTGTCTTTTATAAAATCCTAATCAGCAGTTTGTCCTCCTGCAGGAGACGATACACAAAATGTTTCCTTAGACTTTAGAGAAGTAAACCGGCTCCCATCAAGGCTGCTTCACAGATACTTCCATTTTAAAAACGCTCCACAGCAACAACAGCCAGCGGAGCAGACTCGGGACCAACTGAAGGTAGACTGGCCTCAGAAAGGTTCAGGAGATAAACAAACGGTCAGCATCCCAACCATCAGATGTGGCTGATTTACACACAAACTATTTCATTTGTTATTAAAACCAGTTTCAACCATGTATTCCCAATTAAATGGCAATAATATCTTTATGTACAACATTTTCTTTTGAGGCTGTAAAACATCCACTGTCCAACAGCTTCAGTCTGTTCAATATGGGACTCATGTAGCAGGAAATATTTATTTGGGAAAGTACAAATAAGTATTTCCAGGTAACTGCATCGTGGCTTATCAAATCTAAAAACAAACTACTAAAAATAAATATTTGTGCTCAGGAAGGAAATCTAAACATTTACCAGTTGTGTTTTATATTTCATGCAGAGCTTTTTCAGCTGAGGAGTCAGACAGGCTCAGTTTAGGTAAAACATTCAGCAAATCTTAGGCTTCCTGCAGGAGTTCTAGGTAGAGTTCTGCTGGGAGTTCTCGGCACGACTCACATGGCAGTCCGATCTGTCAGAATAATCTCCAAGTTTAGTCTCTAAATGACACAAGATTCAGATCAAAACTCGTGTCTGTGGTACATGTCGGGGTCGTAGTATTTGGTCACCACCACGCGGTTGGCAAACTTGCGGCCGGTGAGAGCCTGCATGGCTTTCTGACAGTCTGCAGCAGAGATGTACTCCACAAAGATCTGCAAAGAAAAACTAGCGTCAGGTGCAGAGAACAACATCAGAACTCTGTAGAACCAGGTCTGCAGAGCTCCAACACATCTGATCATCACACAAACTTCTTCTAGCCTTCAGCTAAACCACTTCAGAACTGATTTTCTCCACGTATAACAATCTAGGAAAATGTACACTATGGTGGGCAATAAAGTTTCATTCTTCTATTCTTCATTCACAACAAGCTGAGAAACGCTGAAATACCCCAGCACACACAGGTGGTTCTGAAAAGCTTCATGTCTCCCGTCCACATAAACACACCCCAAAAGGCCCAGACTGCTCTGACGGATTAGCTCCAGCGACCTCAACCTGCTCTAACGCACCTTTCCGCATCCTGGGACCTCCACGCCGTCCACGGGGCGGGGGATCTCCATAGAGCGAACGTTGCCATATTTGCAGCACTCCTCGCGGATGTCCTCTAGGATCTCCTCGTAGTCCTCATCATCCACCAGCTCCTCCGGCATCACCATGTTGAGGAGGCAGAGCACCTCTGTGGGCATGCTGGTGTTCTGCAGTCGCTGAAGCCCGGGAACCTGGAGGGTGACCGGGGTCTCTATGATAGAAGTCTGCAAATAATCCACCAAATAAGAACGTCAACAAAACAGCAAATCTGAAAGGTTTACGTCCAGATGTTTCTAATCATTCCTTCGTCTTCGTCTTCGTCTTCCTCCGCTTATCCGGGTCCGGGTCGCGGGGGCAGCATCCCAACTAGGGAGCTCCAGGCCGTCCTCTCCCCGGCCTTGTCCACCAGCTCCTCCGGCAGGACCCCAAGGCGTTCCCGGACCAGATTGGAGATGTAACCTCTCCAACGTGTCCTGGGTCGACCCGGGGGCCTTCTGCCGGCAGGACATGCCCGAAACACCTCCCCGGGGAGGCGTCCAGGAGGCATCCTGACCAGATGCCCAAACCACCTCAACTGGCTCCTTTCGATCCGGAGGAGCAGCGGTTCTACTCCGAGTCCCTCCCGAATGTCCGAGCTCCTCACCCTATCTCTAAGGCTGAGCCCGGCCACCCTACGGAGGAAACTCATTTCGGCCGCTTGTATCCGCGATCTCGTTCTTTCGGTCATTACCCAAAGCTCATGACCATAGGTGAGGATTGGGACGTAGATCGACCGGTAAATCGAGAGCCTGGCCTTCTGGCTCAGCTCCCTCTTCCCCACGACAGATCGGCTCAGCGTCCGCATCACTGCAGACGCCGAACCAATCCGCCTGTCGATCTCCCGATCCCTCCTACCCTCACTCGTGAACAAGACCCCGAGATACTTAAACTCCTCCACTTGAGGTAGGACCTCTCCCCCAACCCGGAGGTGGCAAGCCACCCTTTTCCGGTCGAGAACCATGGTCTCAGATTTGGAGCTGCTGATCCTCATCCCAGCCGCTTCACATTCGGCCGCGAACCTACCCAGCAAGAGCTGAAGGTCAGAGCTGGATGAAGCTAGGAGGACCACATCATCCGCAAAAAGCAGAGACGAGATTCTCCTGCCACCAAACTCGACACACTCCACACCACGGCTGCGTCTAGAAATTCTGTCCATAAAAGTGATGAACAGAACCGGTGACAAAGGGCAGCCCTGGCGGAGTCCAACCCTCACTGGGAACAGGTCCGACTTACTACCGGCTATGCGGACCAAACTCACGCTCCTCTGGTAAAGGGACTGAATGGCCCTTAACAGAAAGCCACCCACCCCATACTCCTGGAGCGTCCCCCACAGGGTGCCCCTGGGGACACGGTCATAAGCCTTCTCCAAATCCACAAAGCACACGTGGATTGGTTGGGCAAACTCCCATGCCCCCTCCATCACCCTTGCAAGGGTATAGAGCTGGTCCACAGTTCCACGGCCAGGACGAAAACCACATTGCTCCTCCTCTATCTGAGATTCAACTATCGATCGGACCCTCCTCTCCAGTACCTTGGCGTAGACCTTTCCAGGGAGGCTGAGGAGTGTGATCCCCCTATAGTTGGAACACACCCTCAGGTCACCCTTCTTAAAGATGGGGACCACCACCCCGGTCTGCCACTCCCTAGGAACTGCCCCCGATGACCACGCAATGTTGTAGAGACGTGTCAACCATGACAGCCCTACAACATCCATAGCCTTGAGATACCCAGGACGAACCTCATCCGCCCCCGGGGCTCCGCCGCTGTGTAGTTGTTTGACTACCTCAGCAACTTCTGCCCCCGAGATCGGACAGTCCATCCCCAGGCCTCCCAGCTCTGGTTCCTCCTCGGAATGCGCATTGGTGGGATTGAGGAGCTCCTCAAAGTATTCCTTCCACCGTCCGACTATAGCCTCAGTTGACGTCAGCAGCTCCCCATCCCCACTGTAAACAGTGTGAGCGAGTTGCTGCCTTCCTCTCCTGAGGCGCCGGACAGTTTGCCAGAACCTCTTTGGAGCCGATCGATAGTCTTTCTCCATGGCCTCACCAAACTCCTCCCATGCCCGAGATTTTGCCTCGGCAACTGCCACTGCTGCACCCCGCTTGGCTATCCGGTACCTGTCTGCTGCCTCCGGAGACCCACAGATCAGCCACGCCCTGTAGGCCTCCTTCTTCAGCCTGACGGCTCCCCGAACCTCTGGTGTCCACCAGCGGGTACGGGGGTTGCCACCACGACTGGCACCGGCCACCTTACGACCACAGCTAGCAACAGCCGCCTCGACAATCGCAGAGTGGAACAAGGCCCACTCGGACTCAATGTCCCCCACTGCTCTCGGGACGTGGTCAAATCTCTGCCGGAGGTGGGAGTTGAAGACCGTCTTGACAGGTTCTTCTGCCAGGCGTTCCCAGCAGACCCTCACTATGCGTTTGGGTCTGCCAGGTCTACGCGGCATGTTCCCTTTCCATCTGATCCAACTCACCACCAGGTGGTGATCAGTTGACAGCTCCGCCCCTCTCTTCACTCGGGTGTCCAAAACATACGGCCGCAGGTCAGATGATACGACTACAAAATCTATCATCGACCTGTGACCTAGGCTGCCCTGGTACCAAGTGTACCGGTGGGCATCCTTATGTTTGAACATGGTGTTCGTTATGGCCAAACTGCGGCTTGCACAGAAGTCCAATAACAAAACACCACTCGAGTTCAGATTAGGTGGGCCGTTCCTCCCAATCACACCCCTCCAGGTCAAGCTGTCATTGCCCACGTGAGCATTGAAGTCCCCCAGCAGGACAACGGAGTCCCCTGATGGAGCACTATCTAGCACTTGTCCCAGGGACTCCAAAAAGGGTGGGTACTCTGAACTGATATTTGGCCCATAAGCACAAACAACAGTCAGGACCCGTTCCCCGACCCGAAGGCGCAAGGAAGCTACCCTCTTGTCCCCCGGGGTAAACCCCAACACACAGGCAGAGAGTCTCGGGGCTAACAAAAAGCCAACCCCAGCCCTCCGCCTCTCACCCGGAGCAACTCCAGCAAAGTAGAGTGTCCAACCCCTCTCCAGGTCTCGGGTTCCAGAGCCAATGCAATGTGTCGAGGTGAGTCCGACTATATCTAGCCGGTACCGCTCAACCTCTGCCACAAGCTCCGGCTCCTTCCCCGCCAGCGAGGTGACGTTCCATGTCCCAAAAACTAGTTTTCTTCTCCGGGGATTGGACCGCCAAGGCTCCCGCCTTGGTCTGCCACCCGATTCGCATTGCACCGGACCCTTCATGTTCCTCCTGCGGGTGGTGGGTCCACAGTTGGACGAGCCCATGTATCCGGTTCGGGCTGGGCCCGGCCGGGCCCCATGGGCGAAAGCCCGGCCACCAGGCGCTCGCTCACGGGCCCCAACCCCAGGCCTGGCTCCAGGGTGGGACCCCGGTAACCCTCCGGGCCGGGTACTCCGACTCTTCGTTTTAACCGCCATGAAAGATCCTTCGAACCGTTCTTTGTCTCACCCTTCACCTAAGACCAATTTGTCATGGGAGACCCTACCAGGGGCACTAAGTGCCCCAGACAACATAGCTCCTAGGATCATTAGGGCACTCAAACTCCTCCACCACGATAAGGTGACGGTTCAAGGAGGACCCCCAACAATAACAGGTCTACTTATTACTTGAGCAGTAGACATTTTAAGCATTAAACTGATACGCCTGTGATCATTCCCAATAAAAACACCATCTGTTCTATATCCAACACATGTTGTATGCTACTAACTTAACACATGAGACTTACGCTGATGCTGTAAAATTTAAATGAAAACTCTAAATGATTAAGAATAGTCTTTATGGCTTTGTTTTTATAATGAGAGACACTTTGAGGGAAACTGAAGAAAATGTTAGTTTAATGTAGTCCAGTGTATTTTATTTGTTTATTATGGTATTAGTGTTTGGTAGGAATTCATAATCTGCTTTCAGCATTTTTGTATCTTTTATGTTTCCTTAGCTTTTCCCCTTTATTTTACAGTTTGTTGTGAGTTTTTGGGGTTTTGCTGCGTTGTGTGAAAGCTGGGTCAGGGTTCAGATTCAAGTCCACACAAACTGCATCATTTAGAAAAAACAAATTCAACATCCAAAAAACTAAGTGCTTTTCTCCCGACAGACAGAAACTAGAGTCGGAGAGGATTGTTGCGAAATGCTGATTTTTCTCACTGTGGTGCTGATTTCACTCACAGGGTTGGCGTTTTTAGCTCCCACACTCGCCCTCTGAACGATGAGCTTTTTGTCTCCCAGCTGCATCCCATTGAGCCCAGCAACCGCCTGGAGAACAAACAGAGTCTAGAGACCCGAAACGTCTAGTCCGATGACCCATTCATACAGAGCAACACGGTACCTGGTCAGTGGCGCTGATGTCTACGTACTCACAAAAAGCGTAGCCTTTGGACAGCGATGTGGCGCTGTCCTTCACCAGGTTGAAGGCTTTGAGAGGCCCGAATGACGTCAAGAGCTCCTTTACCTGCAAACACCAGGCGGAGAAACGGATCTCGAAACCAGAATGGCTCGGAGCATGAAGCTGTTTGTCTACTGAGTGTATTCTAACAGTTATTTTAATAATACAATTCAGTTTGATCTAGTAAAACAAACATACATATGATCAAGTACATGTGCTAGTAGACTTAGCATGCTGAACTGATTCTGAGGAAAAAGGAAGTGAAAGCAGAAAGTTAAAATTTTACTTTAATAATTACATCTTAATCTGAGGAGGACTGATATAACTGTTGGTCAACCTGGAAAACAGCGGACTCATTTCTAGTAGGGCTGCACAATATGAAGACATGCAGTAAAAACATCATGAAATCAGCTGCAATCAGCGTTTCCTCTCTGCTCTGTTTGTCTTCTATCATCACAGCACTGTTAGGGTGTGTTAGCATCTTCACCTCTGGCAGGTTGGGGGTATTTAGGGTCCAACTGCTTACCTGTGATCTGTGATAGGAGTTAATGCTACTGGACCGTATGGTGCAACAGACAAGAGTCAGAAAAACAACCCCCCTTGCTGAGGAGGTCTAAGATCAAAAGCATCAAGGCTGCTGACACACGCACTCACACACACACACACACACACACACACACACACACACACACACACACACACACACGCACACACATGCACGCACACACACACACACACACGCACGCACACACACTCTCACACACACAACACACACACACACGCGCGCCCTTCTTACCCCATCACGGGCTCTGCTGTTGGACTCATAAATGATGATCCTAGGACCGCCCACTCCAGTTGCTTGGTTTCAGTCACATGACCCTGTGTTGTGTTTGTTCCTGAACGGATACGCTCTGATCAGCACCTACACTGTCTTGTATACAGTTGCCACTTCTCCAGTTATTGTCACTTTATATTTTTATTTTATCATGATTATATTCTTACTTCCTAGATTGACTTATCTCTTATTTTAATCTTTCTGTTTTGGACCAAGTACATTTTCCTAATGTTGTGATTCTGAAACTAGGCTTTTATTTTTATTTCATGTCATGTTTTTGACTGTAGCAACAAGCAGCACTTGTTACCATGACGCAACGGTTCTGTTCCAGATGTCGTCCTCCCATATTCAGTAGAACGGACTTTGTGCCGTCCTTACCGAGAACACACTTGTCAAGTACACAGTGGAGGAAAAGTGACACCCCGCCCAACGGCCGAGACATTAGACTGTTTAGAGCACTGTAAAATTCTTACTTATTGTACCTTTAAAGAGTCTGATCTATACATGATGAAATAAAGACTGAAACACAATTGAATAACATCTCCTGATACAAAAACACTAACCAATAAAATGTGACTGACTCAAACCAAACTCCTTAGCTAGACGAGTCCTACAGCTGGTGAAGAGAAACAATCATTGCAACGTGTGCGTGTTACGACCACTGCTCTGCTGCAGTGGACTTAGAAGAAACGTTGCCACCAGATGATCAGAACCTGTTTGAGGTGGACAAGTCCTCTGACTCCTCTGTTAGTGAAATGCAGCCAAATGAAACAAGCTGCTGATTCTGGAGCAACATCAGCTGAAACTTACCAGTCCATCATGTACTTCATGTGCTTGTGTGTACAGAACCACCACAGGTTGAAGACATGCACAGTTACACCCCGACTGTCTGATTGTAATACTGCATTCACGACATCGTGTTAACATTTTCTACACATTGTGCAGCCCTACTCGAAAACAAAAACTTCTTAGATTAAAGAAAACACTTGAGACAATCAGAGGCGAGAGGCTGGATTTAGTCAATCTTGGAGCATTTTAGCTCAGAACCGTTCAAATCAGATAAATGAGAAACGATGCCGATGCTAAACAAACAAAAAACACTCAATATATGAACAAATGAATGTGAAAGACAGGCTAAGAGGTAAACAGCGGTTAGGAATCTTTAATGAACGTTACATTTAAAAACACTATTTTATTAATATAAAACCACAACACACTCCCCCAGAGAGCACTAATCACCTCCACCAACACCAGATCTTAGCGGTGCTAACACTCGGGTACCTGGCTCCCAAACGCGCTCCAAAAGCAAGATGGGAAAGAGAAAGCAGCCAGTGAGGGAGCCTGCTGGCTCGCAGTGTGTCCGGGTGTGGACCAGAATGTCTTACTTGCCTTGTGTTACATGTTGGCATGGCAGCAGTAGATGAGAACTACTGAACAAATTATGAGCGCAGACTTAACGATCTTACAGGCCCCTAGCTGGGGACAAAGTGGGGGGACAAAAATGAAAGAGCTGTGAGTAACAACGCAATGGAAGTGACTGCAGTTATTCAAAAGAGAAGAGAAGGAAAAAGTCAGTGAATAAAAGACATCAGCTGCACGTTGTGCTCTTCTAGCTCAGAAACAACGGGACAGGAAGGCTTAAGCCTTCTGCCACAGTTTACCTGTTAAATGTGAGCAGATATTTACTCTCTTAGAGGAAAGTCCACCTTTCTTTTCTGCTGTTTAACTATGTTTTTCATGAACATACAGTGGGGCAACAATGTATTTGGCAGCCACCAATTGTAAAAGTTGTCCCACTTAAAGTGACGAGAGAGGTCTGTCATTTTCATCATAGCTGCCTTCAACTGTGAGAGGCAGAAGGTAACTAAAGACAATCCAGAAAACAGAACTACACGGGGACAGCTGGTCGCTGACCTGAAGAGAGCTGGGACCACAGTAACAAAGGTTACTAGTAGTAACAAAGGTTACTAGTAGTAACAAAGGTTACCAGTAGTAACAAAGGTTACTAGTAGTAACACACTACATGGTGATGCAACCCTGCAGAGCTCCAACCGTCCCTCTCTGAGACCAGCACATGCCAAGCCCATCCAAGCTCTCCAGAGACCATCTGGATGATCCAGAGGAGGATTGGGAGAATGTCACGTGGTCAGATGAGGGCAAAATGGAGCTCTCTGGTACAAATGCCGCTCACCATGCTTTGAGGGGAAAGAATGCCGAGTTGCTTCCCAAGAGCACCAAACCCAGTAGTTGCGTTTAAAAACGATGCCGCCATTTTGCCGCAAAGCTGAGGTGGCATCTGTGAGCCGTCTACATAAGTGGTGCAATACTGTCCTTTTTACCAACGTTTACACGATGGCGGTATAAAGAGGGTGTGGGGCGGCACCTGCTCTGTCACCGACTTCCCTTTAGCTTGAACATAACTTGCTTTTTATTGCGATTGAAGCTGCACTCCTTAAGTGTTTCTGACCATCCACTCCTAAAGGTGTCTGTCCTCCACTGTCCCCATCAACTGTCTGGTGATCTGAGCTCCAGCTTTAACAGAGAAGCTCCTGGAGCTCCGCATCGCTCCAGTGTACCATCTCAGCTGATTCTGTTAACAAAAGCAAAACTTATTGCCCGTGTTTACTTTTAATCTTAACAGTGTTGCCGGCCGGCGCTCGGCAGTAACACACACGATCATGACACCTCTCTCTGTTGCACCGTGGTGTGATCTTCAGTCACAAGTCGGGTGTTGCAGCAACGTTACTGCCAAGCTTGGTGGCACGGATGACACAGCATTCCAACATCGCCATGCCGCCGCGGCACTTTCATAAGACAGTTCATGGCGGCAGTATTGCGCTTATTTGCCAGCTTGGTGTGTCTTCTAAAAACGGCTACGGTGAAGCATGGGGGTGGAAGCATCATGCTTTCAGACTGCTTTTCTGCAAAGGGGACAAGACGACTGATCCATATTAAGGAAAGGATAAATCGGGGCATGCATCGTGAGATCTGGGGCCCAGACCTTCTTCAACCAGTGAGAGCATTGAAGATAAAAATGGCCGGATCTTCTAGCATTACAATAATTCTAAACACACCACCTGGGCACCGAAGGCGTAGCTACATATGTAAAAAGCATTTCAAAGTACTGGAGTGGCCTAGCCAGTCTCCATACCTCAATACAACAGAGAATCTGTGGAGGGAGTTGAAAGTCCATGTTGCCTAGCAACAGCACCTGATCTTCACGACGCTAGAGAAGATCTGCATGAATGGGTCAAAAACCCAACCTGGTGAAGACCTACAGGAAACATTTCACCTCTTCCATTGTCAACCGAGGTTACATTACAATATATTAAGGTGAACTTTTGTTTTTGACCAAATAAAGTTATTTTCTGCACCATTATACAGATACATGAATACTATGTGATTTCCTGGACGTTTGGTTACATCCTGTGTCTCGGTTGCAGTGGAGCTATGGTGAAAACTACAGACCTCTCATGGAGGCAGGACAACCTGGACAATCGGTGGCTGCCAAATACTGTGATGCACCATAGTAACTAAGAATTACTTGCATTACTTCTTGACCTAATTTAAATCTGATGCTGTGTATTGAGTGTTTCTCTAAAGTTAAACCAACCAAATGTGTTTGAATGGTCTGATGTTTTTTTTAATCAATTTTCTCTTTGAATGGATTGAAGCCTTTAGTTTCTGATTGGCTGTTTGTTAAAACACTTTAGTTGCTTCATCTTATTGAAAAATGCAATGAACTTAACTAAAAAACCCTCTAAAAATGTTAACCATTATTTTCTTACCATATAATAACATTATTTATTTATTTATTTATTTTACCTTACAAATATAATAGCATTGTCAATGTTACTATTATTGCTTTTCATTACACGACTCTCATTGGGAGGATCGAATACAAAACACAACTTGAAGTAAAAGATGTTGCTATAACGCTTCTCTATTCACAAACCTGTTTAACTAAACTATTCATTCTGGTTGTAAAAAACTATTCTAGCCTTATTTCTTTCTAAGCTTCATCTTTTGAAACCAATCAGTCAAAAAAAGTCAATCAAAAATCAAACTGAGGTTAGATCGGGACATCTCTTAAGACATATTTCAAGAATTTGTTTTTTAAGATTATCTTTAAATAAATCGGAACAATGAAATGTAAATCTGTCGTTACAGTCATGTAAAGTTTTAACAGTCAAACACGTCTTATCGGTCGACAACTGGCTGTTAAAAGGAACTGCGGCTACGAGGACGCGTGCGCCCCAATGAGCCACACGTTTTCTGTTGTACCAAACTATGTTGTTAGAAACAGACAAAATACTGCTGTTTATTTATAAATCTGTAATATTCAGTACATTTTTTGACGTACGCAGGACGCCATGTTTTACGCACGCCATGCACTCTGGGGGCGATGACGTTTATTGGTTGCTCCTGCAAGAACAGCTATAGACGCTAGTGTTTGTTTACGTGCTCAGCGTATTGATAATGAAGTAAAATGCTGCATTGTGCTGCTTTTGGATGTAACTTCCAGTCAGAGGGCAACAAGGGGAGTGATGTGAGTTTACAGCTTTCCCACTGGCAAGTGGGAAGATGCCTGTGGACGGACACAACTTCCCAAAGATCCGCAGCTGTGTTCCCAACATTATTCTCGTGATGCGTTTGAGGCTGATAGTCGACCACAACGACTTAAACAGCTCACTGGAGCACCTGGGTATGAGAGATGGCAGAAACTAAAACGCTTTACCGACCATTTTCCCACATAAGGAGCCTAAACGCCCTCGGAGAGACGCTGGACGCTGTCCTGAGCCGACAACCCGCTCCTGCCGCTTCTGCCACGTTCAGCGAACCATCGGACACGCCACTCGTCACGGATGAAGCTGAACGTTCACCTCTCCCGTCAGTAAAACTAGCAGCAACAGTGTTGTCCACATATATAATACCTGCAACACTGATTAAAGTGGTTTCACTGAATATCCTGATCGTCTATGAAGCACACGACAGCTCTGGATGCTAAAATTCTCCTAAATCATACATCACTGAATACGTTTGATCACACGATAGCTTACCGTTAACTTCTGCTGACTAACATGTGAGCTCTTCACAACAAACCCTCTCCCTCTCTGTTACCATGGAGACGCATTTGCCACACACGCACCACCGGTTCTGTCCTGCTCTCGCTTCATCCCGCCCTTCTGATGCTCGTTTTGTGAAACATGGTCAGTGATGTCATCATTAATGTTTCACTCTGGTTCAAACTGAAGAGGCTGAACAGATGACGTGTTGATGTCACTACAGGGTCCCAAAGCCGGCCGCTGCAACCGAGGTACGACCATATGACATCACTACCCAGAGTGCATTGCAACGCTAACAACAATGGCGACCTACAAGTTAAACTATTTTTACAAATTTTATAAAAATGAAGACATTAAGAAGGTTTTTTACACCATTTTAATATAACTGATGCTAACTTTTATCTTTTAAGAACCACAAAGTTTTGTGACCTGAGTTCCTTTTAAAGGTAGATGTTCTATGTCTCATAAAATGTCCAGAGTCAGGACTACAAGCCTCTATGTTTCTTCTTGATAATAAAAATAAGCAGTAAAGTCTGGGATTCATGTATTTGTATTCAGTGACTGAATGTCTGGTGACATAAATGATTGAGGAGGGTTCAAAATCAAATAAACATTGAAGTAAAAGTAAAGTCATTTAGTGGAGGTGGACTTTTTAACCAAATGGATGAACAACTTTAGTTTCTTATTATATTTTCTGAACTTTGCTTACCTTCTTTACATCAGCTTGATTTGCATAAGAAAGATATGAAACCTTTGGATATTAAACCTAAAATCAGTGGTTTAGGTGAATAAGATCTGAATAAAACGTGACGGTAAATCCTCGTAACTCAGTGAAGTTCTGTTTCTTATTAAACATTCTCTACAGATTATTTAAGACGGTAGGAGGCGTAAGGCAGAATTAACTCCTGTTTTAGCATGTGAGGAGGAGGATAAGAGGACCTGTGCAGCAGTGAGATACCTGGTCGTCGTTTAGGTAATTAGGCAGACCTCCGATGAACAGTTTATGGGGAGAATCTGGTACCACGGTGGAGACGACACCTACAGAAAAAACATTTGAAATCACTCAGCAGAGCCTTGTTTCGTGCTTTGGAACAGGTCAGAAACCCACCTGGAACATGGAAGGCTGGCTGCTCCGAGAGCCCAGGTAAAGGCCGATAGTCGTGAGGTCGTCTGATCTTCAGCGACTGACCCTGGAAAATAATTCCATCGAAGGCCATGGCCTGCGTCGTCTCATCAACGGAACGAAACTACAGGAGAAGCCCTGGTTAGGTATGATCCAAACGCACAACACAATCCCACTTTTACTAAACACGGCCAACACCGACTGTCAATGCATCTAAGCCAGCAATGGCTGATCCTGGTTCTGCATGTTATAGAGGTTTCACTGCTCCTCACACCTAATCCTATGGTGTGTGTGTGTGTGTATTTCCATCATTGTGATCACAGGGTTAAAAACAGGTCATGAGCAGCTTTTTTCCATCACTTACATTTTTGAAATAATAATTATTAAACATTCAACACCATTCCATTTTACTTTATTATCATGAATATTTAGAGTGCCCCAGTTTGTCATGTTCTGAGGTAATGATTTAACCCAAGACATGCAAAATCAATACACTGGAGCAGGATGTAAAAAAAATAAGATTTATTAAGATAACTAGAACACAGGGTGAACTGGAAATCCAGCGAATGGGTAAACGGGAGCAGCGTCTGAGGGGAGAGGAGCAGAGGTGAGTCCTTGATAATATAGTATGGTAGAGGATGAGCTTGGTAGGGGGACTTACAGAAGAAGCGTGGTGGAGTATGTCCAGGGAGGGGTGAGCTGGGAGAGCGAATGAGTGTTCCGGGATGAAGCTGAGCGGCGGGGTTTCCAACCGGAGGAGAGGAGAGAGAGAGCAAGTTGTGCCGAGAGCTGGATTTCCAGTTCACCCTGTGTTCTAGTTCTCTAATAAATCTTATTTTTTTACATCCTGCTCCAGTGTATTGATTCTGCATGTCTTGGGTTAAATCATTACCTCAGAACATGACACAGTTAACAGTGCAATTGAACGATTCCACTTGTGGCCAGAAGGCGCTCTCACCTTCCTTCTGCGCTGCATGCTTCTCTAAGTCTGAACTAGTCGCCTGCTTGTGTGTAATCAAATGTCTCTCTAGGTAAAAGCTACAGCCATGAGGTTCACTTTGCCTCAGACAGACTTATTGCTGTTTGCTCTGGCTCAATCCACGATCCGCTGCCACACGGACTGGAACAACAAATGCTCCTGCAGTAATATGAGTTGTGGTGAGGTTCATCGCGTGGCTGAAGCGGCCTTTCATACGTCATCCCAAAGTAGAAGCTAATATCTTCATTTGACCCTGAATGAAAAATGTTGTTATAAAACCTCTCAACTGTTGTTATCACAGAGGCGGCAGCGCTCAGCTCTACCTTCAGTCTGACGGTGCAGCGCGTCGGAGTTGGTACAGCGTGCGCTCTGACTCAGTGTGTGTGTGTGTGTGTGTGTGTGTGCGTGCGTGTGTGTGTGTGTGTGCGTGTGTGTGTGTGGCACAGCTCCATGAGACGCTCCAGTCACTGCACCTTGTTATTAGTACTATTTAAACCAATGTTGTAAAATGACTCACGCCCACATGTGCACCCGTGGGCCGGTTCCGCTGGAACACGTCTGACCTGTGACAGACACACTCTGAACTTCCGATCTTCAGCACGCTGTCTAGAATGCTGTCCCAGTGTGCTAATATAAGAATGATATCATGCTCAGACGGGAATCTTTTCTTGAGTTATTTGTTAAATCCACCACGCCAAGTGTGTGAGGTTTATAATGTCTGAACTCCTGGGGTCATTTACAATCTGTCACAATGACTGACGGCCTTCAGATTTCTCCGACACGTTAAAAACGATACAGAAAATATCCATCTATTGACAGCGTGACACTCACACACACACACACGCACACACACACACACACACACGCACACACACACACTCGCGCACACGCACGCACACACACACACGCACGCACACACACGCACGCACACACGTGCACACACACACGCGCACACACACACGCATGCACACACACACACACACACGCACACACACACACGCGCACACACACACGCACGCACACACACACGTGCACACACACACGCACACACACACGCACACACGCGCGCACACACACGCGCGCACACACACACGCACGCACACACGCACGCACGCACGCACACACACACACACACGCACGCACGCACACACACGCACGCACGCACGCACACACACACACACACGCGCACACACACACACACACACGCAAACGTATTCTTGTATTTAATTACATTTGTTGGGCCCACCCACAAATGAGTTTCTGGCCACGCCGCTGAGCGTGTGTCTGAACTCTGCTGGATTATGAGCAGCGGGAGGTCCAGCTGCTGCACACAAAAGACATGATTCTCTGTTCTTTCTCCCAACGGCTGTTTTCAGGAGTTAACTCGACATGCTGCTGCTACAAAACTAGAGTGGGGTTTGTGTTGGTGAGATTCAAATGAAATGAATGTTTTATGAAAGTGGATCTTTTTGGCACCACACGAGAGTCTGTGTGAGTTATTAGGTTCCACAGATACTGACTTTAAACTGTAGTAATAACGAACCAGCTGGGCCTTCACCCCAAGAGTTGTTGGTACTAAAATCTAAATGTTTCAACTTTAACGTCAAATGAAAATGTTCTTGCATAACCGATGCAGCTTCTCCAAAACCGATGCAGCTCAAAATTCATGGACAGTCGTGGTTGGCCTAAATAGATAATTGACGATATGGTATCAACCATAAATTACTGTGCATTACTATATTTGAGTATTCATTAAGCATAACACATCCCAGCCCAATGTTTTGTTTTGTTTATTCTGTACACCAGTAAACTGTGCTGCTCTGGGTGGCTGCATGTTGGAGTAGCTCTGTTGACTACATGTAAGTTTTGCCTTTTCTTGGGCATTTTTTCTTCTAGTTTCTCAAGAAAAACTGTATTTTTGGACACTTTACTTTTCTGTTTCTGGTGCTGTGAAGCTTGGAGGATTTTTACTGCTATTTTTTCGTTTTTTTCACTTTTTGAGCATTTGTTATTATGCGTAACCATGGCAACAAGCTGGTTTACAATCGGGAGCAGCTGATTAACATTGGGAAGGCTGAAATAATACCTCAACTGAAGCCACAAATCCCAAATGAGCTAAAACGCAAGAAGCGTGGGTGCAGAGCGGGAGCAAAACGGAGACGGAGAAAGAGGAAATTCCAACTATCTCTTCCATCGATCATAATGGGCAATGTGAGATAGGGCTGCTCAATTAATCGAATTTTAATCACGATTACGATCTGAGTTTTGAACGATTATAAAAAACAAAACAAGCCGATTATTTGCTCCTCCCGCCTGCGCTGCGCCGAGTTGCAAATGAAGCGCTCCTCCCACAGTGTTGCCAACTTTGTGACTTTGACGCTATTTCTAGCAGCTTTTCAGACCCCCTTCTTGACTTTTTAACTTAAAAGTACCTAGCGAACACCTCAGAAACATCTCTGGTAACCCTTAGCTACTTTCTGGATAACTGTCGTCGACATTTCCTGCAGGTTAGCTAAACACTCCGCCTGCTCTCCGGACCGTTCTTCAGGACATTAGGAAAGGGAATGATGTAGTGATGTGTCGGTCGCTAAAGACAGCTCTCGGAGCCGGCTCCCTGTTGGATTAACCAGAGTGAGTGACACACACACCGCACCTGCGGACTCCTGAGCCACTAAAACGGCTAAATGTGCGCGTGCAGCGTGCTAAACACACTAGCAGCTTGCCCCGATTGCTGTGAGACCGGGTTGGGGGGTGGGGGTGCAGCTGTGGTTGGGACAATTATTACATTAATTGATGGACTTGTAAATAAATAGTTTATAAATAAGGTAGAAATAAGTTCCTCACGCTGATAAATAATAACTAATCTCTCTGAGGACACGGTGCTAGTGCACTCTCCAGCAGCACATTGACACGACTAAATACGTATTATGCAACATTTTGTGAACATCAATTTATTTGCATGTATTTGTTATAAATGCCACTGTATAATTCTTGCTGTCAGTATTTGCAAGATATTGGTATTTGGGTCTGTACTGTTAGACTTAAATGAGTTAAACCAAGGTCTATAGACCTTGGGTCATAAACTATGAGCTATAAGTATATTGGTCTTTTTATACTGGGAATCAGGAGTTATTTTAGTGATCATCGTGTTTCTTATTTTTGTCCTGATTGTGCCCTGAGCAATTTTATGACTGAATAAAAACAAATAAAATCAACATAAATTGAAAAATCGTCCTAAATAATCGTGATCTCAATTTCAGTCACCATAATCGTGATTATTATTTTTGCCATAATCGAGCAGCCCTAATGTGAGATCACTGATCAACAAGATGGAGGAACTCCAAGCCCTTTCAAGGACTCAGCCAGAGTTTCGGCAGTTTCGGAACCGCTGGAGGAGATCATGCAAAGAAGGATTCTCCAGAGAATCAAGAAAATGATGGACAACCCTGAGCATTCTCTTCACAAGACTGTCCGACAACGGAAGAGTGTCTTCAGTCAGAGGCTTCTTCAGTTTGGCTGCAACACTGACCGCTACTGGAGATCCTTCCTGCCAACAGCCGTTGTAATATACAACAACTCTTTGATGACTTGATTATTATTATTATTATTCTGAGCTACTACAGTAATCAGTTTCTCTCTGGGATTAATAAAGTATTTTTGAATTGAATTGAACTCTGTACCAGGGCACACCAAATGCTGTCATCATCTGGGTGATGAAATATTAACGTTTCCGCATACCCCCTGTAATGCGCTCACAGACCACTAGGGGTACACGTACCCCTGGTTGGGAATCACTGCATTAGATCAGTCTGGACTTGATGGTGCCACTCATCCTTTTCTACAAACACAGCAACCCCATCCTCACATCAAGCAGTGTTCTGCAGCTTGTAAGAGACGTCGGGCTGGAATACGAAGCATCAGGATCGTAACGGAGATAGTCAGGGGGAGTTCCATGGAAAGGATGCCCAGTGTACCACCAAGTCAGGTGGAATCAGGTCAAATAAAGACCAGAACCGCATTTGGTGGACTAATTTTGCCCCCACTCAATAATATATGAAGCTGAAACTCTGAGTCTCACCTCTAGAAAAGCAAAGTTTTTGTCCTGATTAATCTGCACGGCGAGAACCGGGTTGCTCAGGGCTTGTGAGAGACCTGCCAGACGCATCTGAGCGTTGAAGAACTCTGCCATCGACTCCTGTGGAGACAGAAATCATAAGCGATCCTAAAATACGTCAGAGTTACAGACCGACACGCTTTTACCTCTGTTACTCCAAATGGGATGTTTCCTACGTAGAGACGTCTGGCTTGTCTTGTCATCTGGCTGCCAACAATCGGCACTGGTGTTGGTGCTGCTGCCACTCCGGTGGTGGTGGACGTTGCCAGCAGAGCTATTGTTGGGATCTGACCTGCCGCTGGAGCACCAAGCAGACAGAACACTGGTGAAAATACACATTGAAACTATAAGCTTGTCCTGCCTGAAGCTCAGTGCTGTACAACCTCCAGTGGTCTGGACATCGAGCCCACCAGTTTCCAAATAAGGAAAATAATGGCACCATCTTCCGTTCCTGGTGCGTTGAAAACACGGCCGTTTGTAGTGCGCTTCGGGACGGTAGTTCAACGTGCCTCCTATCCTCCAGAGCCCCCTGGGGGAGTTTTGAAAGATACATGTGGGCTCCTGGAGCCCAGATCGGTGTTGGAACCAGGTCAGGAAAGTCCGTGTTGAGCTCCAGAAGAGGACGGAGAGCTTTTAAAAATTCCTAGCCGAGCAGGGAGGTTGGCCAATGGTTATATTATCATGTAGTTTGCCTCTCTTTGCTCTGGAAGGTGTAAGACAGCACTACACAGGCCTTTTAATGTGAAGACTACATTCAGTGTTTATTTTCTTTAAAGTCAATATTTTTATCTACAGCTCTAGACACAACTCCATGTGAACTTTGACCCTTCAAATCTATTTCTGGTTCTTCTTGTGCATGTAAGAAGTGTAAAGGTCACGTTTTGTTTCTGAACCAGGTTCACAGCTTCTCAAACCGCTGGTTTCTTTAGGAACTAATCTGATCCGAATGTTTTCCAGATGATGAATCTTTGATGTTCATTTTAAAGGGATTTATCTGTTTTCCAGCCGCGTTGGTGACCAAGTAACAGTTTGATCTGTGAAGGTGGACGTGGTTTTTACTCATAACCGACTAGTTGAAATCATTCAGGAAACAAAGAAAGCAAAAGTAATCAGGAGGTGGAACTCAAATCCAAAGACATGCTTCATTTAGACAACAGTAGCAGTAGCACAGGTTGAAGCTCACAACAAGTTAGGAGGACCTGATGAGTACCTTGCATAGCTTTGTACTGCATCGGTGTGATGTGTTCAAATCCTGGAGGAGGGACGTCCCAGTATTTACAGATTCTTTTCTTTCTGGTTCGCCTTGGAGAGTGACTACATGCAGAGAATAAACAAATAAAAACATTATCTACTCATCTTGGCTTTTTCATTTTAATGTGATGATGTCACTAACCAAACACCAAAAGCAGAGCTCATTGTTTTTCACCCCTACAGCAGGAATGTGGATCGTTATGCTGATCTTGGCCCTCTTTCTCCATACTCAAAACCAGTTGTTACCAGTTTGGGGGTGAAACTTGATGTAGGACTTAAATTTGATGCTCACATCAATTCTGTGATCCGGTCCAGTTTCTTTCACCTGAGATGCCTTGCTAAAATCAAGCATATGCTGTCGAGAGCCCACCTGGAGCAGGTACTCCATGCCTCTGTAATTTCTCGGCTTGATTACTGCAACTCTCTCTATGCAGGGTTGTGTCAGTCAACACTGCGTCGCCTACAGGTTGTGCAGAACAGCGCTGCCAGGTTCCTGACTGGGACCAGGAAACGGGACCACATCAGTCCAGTTCTGGCCTCCCTGCACTGGCTTCTGATTTGCTATCGCTCACAATTCAAAATCCTCGTCTTTGTCTATCATTTCTTCCAGGGTGGTGCTCCCCCCTATCTGGCCACACTCCTTAACAAACACTCCCCATCACGCGCTCTGCGCTCCTCTGACCAAGGCCTGCTCGCTGTCCCTCGGTCTAGGTGTCGTACCCGTGGGGACCGGGCTTTCTCAGTCCTAGCACTGTTACTCTGGAACCAGTTGCCACCCTCAGTTAGGCTGTCCCCTTCTCTGCCAGTCTTTAAGAATCACCTAAAAACACACCTCCTCCGCTTGGCGTTTCCAGAACATGTTTGATTTTGGCCCTCTTTTATGTTGAATCCATTCCACAGTTTTCATTGGTTCACTCAATCCATCCACTCAATCCAAATGTGTTTCACACATTTGTCCTTTACCGGACTGTTTCATCTATCTTGTAATTTCCATTTTGTACTTTGTAATTTGTATTTTGTAATTTGAATTTCTTTTATTGTTGATTCATTCAATATATTTACTTACAACTGTACCGTGTTCAGCGCTTTGGGCTTCCTGACAGGGTTGCAGAAGACGCTTTATAAATAAAGCTTTGATTGATTGATTGATTGATTGAAAAGCTTCAGGAAACCAAACAGCTGCTCATTAGGAGAGAACCTGTGGTTCACTTTGGCTGCAGCTTGGTGATTGTGTAGGTCTGCTGTTAGTCTTGGTCTCACATATGTGGACAGTGGCTCTTTGCACTTTTAACATTTTATCATCTTCACCTTAGACCTTTTTGTTATTTATAGACACATGATTTTCATATAGACTTAAAAAATGTGTTTTCTTTCTTTTTTTATAGGAAATTTGACAATGGCTTCATTTAACTTAATTTTCATTTTATTTTAATATTTGTAATTTTGTTTCTGTTAATGAGAGTAGACTACTCTCTGTAATAGTTACATGTATTTTGTCTTTTAAATCACATCAAGTACAGGTTCAGGTCTCCGGAGTTTAAGTATCTCGGGGTCTTGTTCACAAGTGAGGGGAAACTGGAGCGTGAGATCGATAGGTGGATTGGTGCTGCGTCTGCAGCAATGCGGGCGTTGTACCGGTCTGTCGTGGTGAAGAGAGAGCTGAGTCAGAAGGCGAAGCTCTCGATTTACCGGTCGATCTACGTTCCTACCCTCACCTATGGTCATGAGCTTTGGGTAGTGACCGAAAGAACGAGATCGCGGATACAAGCGGCCGAAATGAGTTTTCTCCACAGAGAGGCTGGACTCTCCCTTAGAGATAGGATGAGAAGCTCGGTCATCTGGGAGGGGCTCGGAGTAGACCCGCTGCTCCTCCACATCAAGAGGAGCCAGTTGAGGTGGCTCGGGCATCTGGTCAGGATGCCTCCTGGACGCCTCCCTGGTGAGGTTTTCCGGGCACGTCCAACCGAGAGGAGACCTAAAGAAAGATTCAGGACACGCTGGAGGGACTATGTCTCTTGGCAGGCCAGGGAACGCCTTGGGATTCCTCCGGAGAAGCTAGCCCAAGTAGCTGTGGAGAGGGAAATCTGGGCCTCTTGGCTTAGTCTGCTGCCCCCACGACCCAAACACAGATGAGAGGTCAAAAATGGATGGATGGATGGATGGATGGATGGAGTGGGTTAAAGTTTTACTAAATTATCCCTCAATTAGTCATTTTGTTTAACTCCTTGTTGTGATGATCAGATTTTTTTCCAAATGTATTTAAAAAATTAAAGACTTTAATCCTCAGTCTTTTATGCGAGTGAGAATTGATCATGTTTGCCTGAAGTCAGTTTTGTACAGATAGTCTCTATTAAATCTTTAACAAGCAGGAGAAAAACTGAACATATTTTAGACATTTTGGGCCTTTAGAAGCTCCGTTTATTTAATTAAATTAAATTTTTTTATTTAATTATTTATGTTTTAGGAGGATTAACCACTTGAGATGAACCATCTCGTTTAAAAGTGGATCCTCCATAGATGATTCAATGCAGATAAAAAAAAAAGAAAACAATTTCCATGAAAACATAAAATCTATGGGGCAAGAGCAAAAATAAATTCACTTACAAACAGCACAACTAATGAGTACAGTTAAAACTCATAGAACAGATGCATTTGAAGTTAATGTGTGAGTTATTGTAAATTCAAAATTCAATTCAATTCAAAGATACTTTATTAATCCCAGAGGGAAATTAGAGTTTCAGTACACACAATTCAGAGATCAGACAAACATACATAGGCAAAGACACATGACAAGAATTGGTGACTGTGGTCATTCGCAACCCGAGTCGCGCTACCTTAATAGAGATCAGAGGGTTTGTATGAGGGTTGAGTCAGGTGGAGGCAAAAAAAGGCACTTCAGAGTTACCCTCCACAGGGAGGGCAGCTTTGCTCTGCAAAAAAACACCTCAACAGAAATGCAACAGACTTCAGACAACACACAACATAAGTGTCCACTAGGTGGGGTGGTGGGTTTGGGACTCTCCACACATCAGTTCCTGCAGCCACAATAAGCAGCGCTCTTCACCTCAGTCTGGACAGGGGAGGGAGGTCATTGAGGCTTGGAGGGCACAGTGTAGGGCTGGGCGATATGACGATTTTAGACCGTTTTACGATCTACACATCTGACGGTCTGTCATTTTTGAGAGACCGTTTTATCACGATTCACAGCTCTGCTGTTGAAATTCTGCCTCTGAATGAAAAGGGAACTTACCTCAGGCGAATGACACGCCTTTGTTTGACCCTTAACCAATCAGAGTGAGTCACTGTAATATATTAGCGCCCCGCTTGTTTTCACCTGTGTGTGAACAAACATGGCTTCGGCCGCGGCTGAGAGCGACAACGAGGTTTTCGTTCCGAAGAGGAACGCCTCGTCCGTTATATGGAACTGGTTTGGTTTTTCACCAGACGACAAAGAGCAGCGAAACGTCATTTGCAAGTAGAGCGTCAAGGCAAGTGATGCAACACCACAAACGTGTTTAATCACCTGAAAAGAAGCCATCCCAAACAACACAATGACAGCCAGCTGGCAGCTAAAGCTAAAAATCCTGCGGCTACAGCAGGGGCGACGGTGGCACAGGAGTTAAGTGCTCGCCCCGTAACCGGAAGGTTGCAGGTTCGAGCCCCGCTCAGTCTGTCGCTGTCGTTGTGTCCTTGGGCAAGACAATTAACCCACGTTGCCTGCTGGTGGTGGTCGGAGGGACCGGTGACGCCAGTGCTCGGCAGCCTCGCCTCTGTCAGTGCACCCCAGGGCAGCTGTGGCTACATTGTAGCTCATCCCCACCAGTGTGTGAATGTGTGTGTGAATGGGTGAATGACTGATTGTGTTGTAAAGCACCTTGGGGGGTTCCAGGACTCTAGAAGGCGCTATATCAAATACAGGCCATTTACCATTTTACAGCGGCAGCGGCTAGTGCTTCTTCCAGGCAGCAAACGCTAACATAAACACTCACAAAACTCACTCCCTACGACAGAGACAGCAGACGGTGGAACAGCGTGACCGATGCAGTGGCGTACCTCTTGGTTAAAGATTTGTGTCCCGTGCGAACAGTAGGAGCGGGATTTAAGAAAATGATAAAAACATTGGATCCGTGCTACGAGTTTTCCAGCCACAAGTATTCTTCGAACACCGCCATTCCACGCATGTACGCTGAATGCAAAGTGAGAGTTGCAGAAAATATTCAGAATGCGCAGTTTTTTGCTACCACAAGCGATCTCTGGTCCAGCCGCACATCAGAGCCGTATTTGAGCTTAACTATCCACTACATGAGCAACTGGGAGCTACATAGTATTTTGAACAAGTTAATGTTTGCACAATACGTTTGCAATTGACATGTTTGCACTTTAAACATGTTTACGATTTTAATTTATGTTAAGTTACTTGAAAAACGAGAAAAACTGATTTTTGTAATTGTTTCTCTCAGGGCTTTTATCATCTCTGGTGTGAGTTTAAAATATAAGTGTGTTAGCACTGTGCTGATTATCCCTAATATGAATAAATGTTTATTTATTCAATGTTTCTCTTCTTTAATACGCAATTGAAGTTATGCTATTCATGGATAAAAAATCGTGATAAAATCGAAATCGTGATAAAATATTGGAAAAATCGTGATTTCTATTTTTGCCATATCGCCCAGCCCTAGCACAGTGACTCCTGGAACAATTCGGTGGCCTTCGCAGCCCACAGTCCTGCCCAGGCTGGGATAGGAGACAGAGTTGCCGTAGCGACGGCAGCATTCCACATTTTTTCTGAGGGGGGAGTATTCGTTGCAGCCTCACAGGCTCAAGGGCACCAGATTCAGATTAGAAATTGTTTTGGGGCCAGACAGAGATAATTTCCTCTCTGTCTTAAAGTATAAAAAGCTGCCTAAGAGCTCCGGCGCCACAGGTCCACACCATCGCCAGTGTCCATCTCGACCTCCTGACCCCCTGGATCGCATGAGGATCTTCACACAAGGGTGCGTAGAGTCGGTACAAATTGCGTCGGATGGTTTTATAAATAAATTTTAGCTTATCAAACTATACAGCCAAACTGATTTTACAAGCCAGACTCCACAAGCTCTCTCAGATACTTAAGAAAGATTTTGCTAAAACATCTAGCTCACATTCCATCATTCCATTCATCATCTGTCATTTATAACCATTTAGTTTAGGAAAATAGAATTAAAATAATTTTTATAACTATATTCTTGACTGTCTGAATTAATATGAAGTGTGTATGTTCCCTGAATAAGTCAAAGAAACTCTTCTGATTAAACATTCAAAGACCAATCAAATTGATATTTTATATTTATATGGAACATCACACCTTATTGATCATGTAATATATACTGTATGTAGCCAATCCTTAACGCTTTGAGTGCATGTGCATGGAGGCTCTCTGTTGGTCCTGACCTTACAGAATCAGAATTAATTCCTGCTGATGGAACCGAGAGGCCTCGGACCACCTGACCTGTGCTTCTTGTGGTCGCGGGAGGAGCTGCGACGGTCCCGGCTCTTTCGGTCCCGGCTCCGGCTCCTCTTCTCTCGACTTCGACTTCCTCGATCTTTGCTCCAGCTGCGGTGCTTGTCTCCTCGTTCGGGAGATTCGCTACGGCTCCGCTTTTTGTGCCTCTCTCTTTCCCGCTCTGTGAAGGAAAGGTCAAATAATAAGACTGACATTACAAATGTCTAGGAGTGATGTGAAAGCACTCAGGGTGTGGTTGTTTTATGAATACTAGAGAAACTTAACACTGGGAATGATTACTAAGGAAAGACAGAAAACTCAGGTGGCTGACTCTGTGATTTGTTAGACTATTGGGTTCAAGTTAGTGATGCACCATTATAAAGTTTTTGGGCCGATACCGATATTCGATAGTAATTCCACTGTCATGGCCGATAACCGATATTTGCCGATACCGACATACTGACATTAATGCTTCAAAAATCATCAGATTTTGTATAGTATGATTCAAGCTAAATTTACATTATTATGTAAAAACAACACACACATTTACGCTTCTGAGATGATTACAATCACTGTCACATGACTAAACAAATACACATCACCCCACCTATCTCTCTGAAACTCCATCCATCCATCCATTTTCAGCCGCTTATCCAGAGTCGGGTCGCAGGGGCAGCAGCTCAAGCCAAGACACCCAGATTTCTCTCTCCCCAGCTACACGGGCCAGCTCCTCTGGAGGAATCCCAAGGCGTTCCCTGGCCAGCTGAGAGACATAGTCCCTCCACCGTGTCCTGGGTCTTCCCTTTGGTCTTCTCCCAGTTGGATGTGTCCGGAAAACCTCACCAGGGAGGCATCCGGAAAACCTCACCAGGGAGGCATTCTGACCAGATGCCCAAGCCACCTCAACTGGCTCCTCTCGACATGGAGGAGCAGCGGGTCTACTCGGAGCCCTCCCGGATGACCGAGCTTCTCACTCCATCTTTAGGGGAGAGTCCAGCCACCCTGCGGAGAAAACTCATTTCAGCCGCTTGTATCCGCGATCTCTTTCTTTCAGTCACTACCCAAAGCTCATGACCATAGGTGAGGGTAGGAACGTAGAATGACCGGTAACTCGAGAGCTTCGCCTTCTGACTCAGCTCTCTCTTCAACATGACAGACCGATACAACGCCCGCATCACTGCAGATGCAGCACCAATCCGCCTATCGATCTCACGTTCCAGTTTTCCCTCATTTGTGAACAAGACCACAAAGGTACTTAAACTCCTCCACTTGTGGCAGGTCATCCCTGACCTGGAGAAGCCATTCTACCCTTTTCCGATTTAAGACCATGGTCTCGGATTTAGAGGAGCTGATTCTCATCCCAGCTGCTTCACACTTGGCTGCAAACCGGTCCAGCGAATAATGGAGATCGCTGTTGCATAAAGACAACAGGACCACATCATCCACAAAAAGCAGAGACCTGATCCTTAGGTCACCAAAACGGATCCCTTCAGCACCTTGGCTGCTCCTAGAAATCCTGTCCATAAAAGTTATGAACAGACTCAGTGACAAAGGGCAGCCTTGGCGGAGTCCAACTCTCACTGGAAACAAGCTTGACTTACTGCCGGCAATGCGGACCAAGCTCTGACACCGGTCATACAGGGACCTAACAGCCCGTATCAGAGGGCCTGGTACCCCATACTCCCGGAGCACCCCCACAGGGCCCCCCGGGGGACGCGGTCGCACACCTTCTCCAAATCCACAAAACACAAAGACTGGTTGAACAAACTCCCACCAACCCCCAGGATCCCCCTAAGGGTATAGAGCTGGTCCAGTGTGCCACGGCCAGGACGAAAACCACACTGTTCTTCCTGAACCTGAGGTTCAACAATCCGATGGACCCTCCTCTCCAGAACCCCTGAAAAAAACCTTACCAGGGAGGCTCAGAAGAGTGAACCTTCTATAATTGGAACACACTCTGCGGTCCCCCTTTTTAAATAGGGGGACCACCACCCCAGTCTGCCAATCCAGTGGAACTGCCCCCGACGTCCACATGATACTGCAAAGCCACGTCCACCAACACAGCCCCACAACATCCAGAGCCTTAAGGAACTCTGGGCAGATTTCATCCACCCCCGGGACTTTGCCACTGAGGAGTTTTTTTGACCACGTCAGTGACCTCAGCCCCAGAGATTGGGGGCCTGTGACCAGTGTTGGTAGCGCACTGATTTCCCCTCCTGAGACGCCGGATGGTTGACCAGAATCTCCTTGAAGCCATATGAAAGTCTTGCTCCATGGTCTCACCAAATTCCTCCCACACCTGGGTTTTGCCTACGCGACCACCCGAGCCGCTTTCCACTTAAGACTGCCAGTATCCATCAGCTGCCTCTGGAGTCCCACAGGCTAAAAAGACCTAGGACTCTTTCTTCAGCTTGACAGCATCCCTAACCGCCGGTGTCAACCAGTGTGTTCAGGAGATGCCACCACGGCAGGCAACAACCATGCGGCCGCAGCTCCGGTCAGCCGCCTCAACAATAGAATCATGAAACAATGGCCCACTCGGACTCAATGTCCCCCGCTTCCCTCGGGACATGTTTGAAGTTCTGTCAGAGGTGGGAATTGAAGCTCCTTCTGACAAGAGACTACCAGATGTTCCCAGGAGACCCTCACAATATGTTTGGGCCTGCCAGGTCTGACCAGCTTCCTCCCCTCCATCGAAGCCAACTCACCACCAGGTAGTGGTCAATTGACAGCTTCACCCCTCTCTTCACCCGAGTGTTCAAGACATGCGGCCGCAGATCAGATGAAACAACAACAAAGTCAAACATCGAACTGCGGCCTAAGTTATCCTGGTGCCAAGAGCACATATGGACACCTTTATGCTTCAACATGGTGTTTGTTGTGTTTACTGATCAATGCCACTATAAAATCCTGACTGCCATTAAATACTAAAGGTTGAAAGTAAACAAGAAGTTATTTTATTAGTAAAAACACAAAAACAATTGTCAAAAATTATACATCTTAGTCCTCTGGGATAGTAATCCTTTCAACATGTCTACTCAATGGACGTAGTTTTGGGGGACTGGGAGACACTTTTTCCAAAGTCTATTTTTGTCCCCTTCACTTTTTACCGTCCCAAAACAAATATTAAATATATTAAATAGACACTGGTGGAGCACTAGAACCATAGGAAAAACGGCCACTTGAGTTGAAGCCTGTTTCTAATTAGAACCGTCCCTGAGCTCATCTATTGGCTCTGCTGATACTTGCTAACGTGTGATTGGTCGTTTCTACCACCTGTGTACTTGACAGTTCTGCATTCCTGGCATTGAATAAAAGAGCCTCTGGGCTGTAGTTTTATACATATTTTTGTATATTTACTGTAAAGACCCCCACCCCACCCCATGCCGGTTGCGTCCCCCCACTTTTAAAGTCAAAACTACGTTCATGGTCTACTCTGTAACTAGCATTATTCACTCATTCATAGCTGTTTCTAGATCCTGAATAGGGTGCCCTTCACGTATCTACAGTTATTATTTTTAATTATTAGAACTGGATCAATTCTCTGGTTTAACTCTTCTGTGTTTATTATTCTGTGAGGAATCTCGTGGTTTATTGAGGCTGTTTTTCTTGGTCTTGAGACCTTTAAACAAATCAATAGGAATAGATCTGGTCTGCTACCAGAGAGAAGATCTGATTAAAGGCCATGTTTTAAGTCAGTTTCTTTGTTTCATTATCTCAGTTTAGATTTTAAATTTCAGTTATTTTTATCATTAATTAAGGATCAGATCTAAAAGTTGCTGATATTCAGTCTGAAAACACATCTGATAACAGCACACCCCCTGGCCAGGAAATAATAATATATGAAAATTATAACATTTTATTTGAGGTGTAAAAATAATATCCTAATTAATTTAACATAATTTGATGTGCTGCAGCTGCAAATAAGTTAAGTCAGGTCACACATAAATTTCATTAATATGATTGTGATCAATGCAAAAAGCTTTGGGTTTTCTCACTCCGGTACATTTTATTTTTTATTTATTTATGGGATGATTTATGTTAGTTAGAAGCTCCAAAATGAAAACGAATCTGAGTTATTCGTGTCAACACGGCCTGAGGATGCCACCTGAGAAGCCAGTCCTGTCTCGTAATTCATTCATAAATGACCACCGGTTAAATGACCGGGCTAACCGTTACGCTGCTAGCTTGGACACCGAACCGGGACACTGACGCCGGGTTTACGGACAGCGGAAACTAACCTTGTCGATTCTCGCTCAGCTGTTTCTCAAACTCATCGAAATCCGACATTATCTAGGTTGCAAAAACACCGCGGCTCTGACTCGGCGGACAGGCGGCAGATTAGTCGGCTGTGTCGGTGGAGAAAAGCCTGGTTAGGTTCACCGGCGGAACACTGGTTACAGGCTACATCCGGCGAGCCCTTCACAATAAAAGACTGTGAGGCTACCTGTGGTTAAAGTGACAGTGTGTATTTTTCCTGGCGATTGGGGCCAGTAGATACCTAAACCATTGCAAGCAAGCAGTATTTTTGTGTTGGAGTGAGACCTTACCAACAGATACCCATTAGGGCCAAAATGCCCTGGGGGGGTGGGGGTGGGGGACAAATTTAAGCAAAAATAACAAGCACATCAGACTGCTTTTCATCACTGGCAACTAGAGAAGAGGTAAATTTGTAAAAACAACAACATTTAAGAATGGAGAAAGTTTTTTAACCATTTGTTACAAATCAGTAAATGCACTTTGCCCTCTTTTCCGCAGAAGGAAATATGGCATATAATATGGCGTCACCCAGAGACTTAGGGTGTTTCTCAGTGTCAAGGCGTCTGGCCTTGCTTGTTTTGCGAGGCCAGGAACCTTGCTTGCAAGGACACTGTCCTTCCTTGGTCCAAGAAAGTGGTTAAATGGATCAGACTTGCATCAAGTGACCGCAGCTTCCACGGCGGTCATGTAACATCATGTGACACGGGACAGAACGTTATATTTTATACGTATAAGTTTCAATATAAATATATAACGAGCCTTTCACTTTTTAAATTGTGTCCGTATTTGCCAAATTAAATATATAAGCAGGTCACTACCCGCGAGCCACCGAAGCTGCAACTACAAAGCAACTAGCCAACAATAGATAATGACTTTGAATCTAAAAAAAAAAACATTTTAAATGAGTTGACTTACTTTTAAACTTGAAATTTGCACCAGAAGTAGCTGCCGGCTTCTGATCCCCCATCCTTTTGAAAATACAGCAGTGTATTTTGGGAAATTTTTGACCAAGGCTAGACTACAAGACACCTCCCTTGTGTCCTTGCTCAGCTAGCTAAACGGTTAACAAATGGAGAACACATGCTTCAGTAGAACATGAACACGTCTTGGCGGTTCCTGATGACGTATTTTCTAGGCAACTGGGGCGGGGCCAAGACATAAATTTGAGGTTCCTTGGCATTGAGAAACACCCTTAGACCCACTCCCATGTATTTTAGACCTGATTTTTATGGTTATATGTTACAAAGCCACCAATATTTTTCAACAACTGGGCATCATTGAATTCATTTTCAACAACATTTTGATGAAAATTTCCAGAAATAAATGATTAAATACTAAAACTAACCGTTAACCAAATGAATCTTAAAGTACAATCTATGCAAGTAAAATGCTGTACTGAACTTATTATTACTTCTAATGTCACCCATCTATCTAGCAAGCCGTTACTGTTGCATTAATTGGTAACACCAAAAATCATCAACGATGGTAAATGTGAAGTTCAACACAGCAAAATACCAAACCAAACTACACCAAGATACAAGTAATACTGCTTTGACTGAAAAAACAACCATTACTAATGCCGTTATTTTAACGCTATCACTGCGAAAAACACCATAATCATGCATTATTTCATGTTCCGGTTCGGTTTGCACTAATGACGAGGCGCAGGAACAGTTCAGACCCAGATGAGTTTGGTTCAGTTTTCTAAACCCAGTCCTTGTTACTCACTTGCCCCGATCGCGCAGTCCCGTGCGTCTCGCCTCCGCCGTGCCGTTGGCCTCTGGAGGTAGAACCAGAACACGACCATGAATCATTGTTTTTTTTGCTTGACCTATTTCATATCTCTGCTGCTGACTGATCTAAAACCAATAATGTGAAAACTGTAGATGTTATAGAAAGGTCCCGCCTTTCTCGCCTCTGACTGGCTGTTGGCCGTAAAATCTGAAAATTAATTTCTCACCTCTGATTGGCTAGGAAGGTTCTCTTCTGTTTGGCTATTTCTTTAGCTGATCGTCATGGTCGCTCCTACCGCTAACTGCAGGCTCACAGACACTGATTGATTTAATCCAATTTGGTGTGGTTGTTCACATTATAATTGAAATGTGGCAGCAAACACTCCCCAGTGTGAATGGTTCACGGCCCCAAAACAGCCCACATGCACAGAAGATAAGAAGTCACACGCAACACACTCTGTGGTAAATGGCCTGCATTTGATATAGGTAGCCTAAAGTCTCCTAAAGCCTCAGTTCCACCGGTACCTGCTTTGACCGACACCACTCCAATCTGTGCGATAAGATTGTGTCTCCATTAGTACCTAGTATCAGCTCTAGCTCACATTTTCTGAACCATTCGCCGAGGAGTTCTGTTCGCTCAGAGTAGGCACCATGATGCATATTCAAAAGGCTGTCGATCACTGATAGGCTAGGGGGTGGAGTCACTGGTCCTCTCACTGCTATGTGCAGGGTAGGGTGACCAGATATCCCGCCTTGTGTGGGACGTCCCGCATTTTCATTACTTTTCATGTGTCCCACAAATTGAGACTCCTGTCCTGCATTATTGACAGTTTCATATTTTGAGTTTCAATATTATAAAAGAAACTGTGGGGAAATCTGCCTGTTGCTGTCAATGAAACGGAGGCAGGACTTTAACGCAGATCCGGAGCGTGTGTGGAGCGTGCCCGAACCACCAAAACAAGCGTGAGTGAGCACGGAGGAGAAAATGCTGTAAACTCATGAATTAAACATGTTCAGAGGTACTCCTGTTGTTTCTGAGTCATTCTTTCATGTCTCGGTGCGGAGTCTGATATGAAGAGGTCAAAAGCAGCTTTTCCAGTAATTAGACAGGTCCATGATAAACACAATGGAGGTTCTAACACAGACAAGGTGCTGCGGTTTCAGATACCTGCGTACACGCTGAGCCCCTTAAAGCACAGTGAAGAAATAATGAGAATAAATGGAAGCGTTCATCACTTATTCTCAGACATTTGAGGCAAAAAGTAACTCTAAGAAACTATTATTAGATTAGATCTCAAATTTTTACAGATTAGAATCTAATGTTTATTCTCCCACCTAAAATTAGAAGAAATTTGTTGTCATGTTTAAAAAAATGTTTAGTTTCTGAATTGTGAAGAAAAAAAAACTGCAAAAAAGAGTGGATGTTTTTTCAGTGAGATGCTGATTTTAGTAGAAAATTAATTAAAAACAAACATAAATAGATCTAAAAACTATTATTGGTACTTTTACTGTCATTCTGCTGTGGAAAATATTCAATGAAAAGCTGCTTAAACCTGCATTTTTTTATATTATTGTGCGCCTATCTGTATTATTAAAATGATCAGAGCCACTACAGAAGGCCCAAAGAGTCTGAGTTATGTTGTAACGGGAGAGGAACTGTGAAATAGTAAAGCTTTTGCTGTATGCTTGCTCTTGTTGAATTCTAATAAAATGTGTACAAGAAATATATGATGATAACAAGAATAATAATTTTATGTATATGTAACAGGGATATTTGGGCTAAAAGGCAGAATATACCTTTTGTTTTTTGTTTTTTTCTCATTACATTGGAACTTCACGTTGTCCCACACTGAGTAGTCTCTGTCCCACATTTGGCAAGTTGGGATCTGGTCACCCTAGAGCAGGGGCACGGAGTTTGCAGCTCCTTCTCCAGATTTAAAGGCCCTATGTGTGAAATCCATTGAAATCAGGATGAAAAAATGCGACTCTTTAGCATCATGCAGTTCAGAGAAAGTATTGCAGCTACGGTGGCTCACTCATGAGTTTGATCATATAATCAATTTCCAACCTGTGTAGCCCAAAGCTTAAAACAAGCATTTATAATTATGTCTGTGTGTCCTGGATAAAGGCGGTGATATGTGATATGTGATAGGCCTTGAAAGGGACAAAACCATCAACCGCCTGACATATCACCGCCTTTATTCAGGAGATGCCATACCCTGCAACTACGGACTTCCCAAGATCCACAAGGAAGGGATCCCTCTCAGACCCATTGTCAGTAGCATAAATTCAGTCACCTACAACATCGCGAAACACCTTGCTACTATCCTTGCACCTCTGGTGGGGAACACCCCACACCACATCAAGAACTCCACCGACTTCACTGACAAGGTCCAGAAACTTACCCTGGATCCAGATGAAACCATGGTGTCCTTTGACGTAGTCTCTCTCTTCGCTTGCATACCCACTACGGAGGCAGTGGAGACTGTCAGAAAACGACTACAAGAAGACAGCACCTTGGGGGACAGGACCAACTTCACACCAGATCAGATTTTTACACTGTTAGACCTCTGCCTCACCACTACATATTTCAAATACAACAAAGGTTTCTACAGACAAAAACATGGCTGCGCCATGGGCTCCCCCGTGTCACCTATTGTAGCTAACCTTTACATGGAGGAAGTGGAAAGAAAGGCTCTTGGCTCTTTTAAAGGGAGAGCACCCAGCCACTGGTACAGATATGTGGATGACACCTGGGTCAAAATCAAAACACAAGAAGTGGAATCCTTCACTACGCACATCAACGCCGTGGACAAAAACATCAAGTTCACCAGGGAAAACATAAAGGACAACTGCTTGCCTTTCCTGGACTGCGCTGTGCACCTTGAAGAAAATGGCAACCTCAACATTGAAGTGTACCGGAAGCCCACACACACGGACCAGTACCTCCTCTTCGACTCACATCACCCTCTGGAACACAAACTTGGAGTAATCAAGACCCTTCACCACCGGGCAGAACATGTTCCCTCTAAGCCGGAAGGGAAAAAGAAGGAACACACACATATAAAGGAATCACTTAAAACAAGTGGCTATCCTAATTGGGCGTTTAAGAAGTCAGCAAAAATGCACAGAAAAGAAGACCAGACACCAGCGAGGGAGGATAAGAAAGACAGACGCAACAACCTTGTCATCCCCTATGTAGCCGGTGTATCAGAGAAACTCAGGAGGGTTTCCTCCAAACACAACATACCAGTGTACTTCAGATCCAGCAACACACTCAGACAGAAACTGGTTGACCCGAAAGACAAAACTCCTAAACACCAACTGAACAATGTGGTGTATGCTGTACAGTGCAGCGAGGAATGCCCGGACCTCTACATCGGAGAAACCAAACAGCCACTTCACAAGCGCATGGCACAACATAGAAGAGCCACCTCCATGGGACAGGACTCAGCAGTTCATTTGAATCTAAAGGACAAAGGTCACTCTTTCGAGGATGCCAACGTTCACATTTTGGACAGAGAGGACAGATGGTTTGAAAGAGGAGTAAAGGAAGTCATTTATGTCCACTGTGAGCAACCATCTTTGTGTTTACGACACCAACTGTCTGCCATCTATAATCCTGTTTTGAGATCCCTTCCCAGATGCCTCAACGCCCACGGCCATCTGACCTCAGGAATTCACATGATAGGGTGGGGCCAGGCTTCACAGTGAGCTCACCCAAAACTCTGGCTGAATAGGACCCTCGCCCACCCTCAATGTGTTTATGTAGAAGATCATAAGGGGGTCTTTTGTTCCCTCTTCGGGGGGAAACTCCCACTGGGTTTAAATCTGGGACTCTCCACCATTTGACCTTAGAACTGAAGAAGCCTCTCGGATGAGAGGTGAAACGTCTTCAAGCAACTCAAAGAAGTCCAGACGCTTTTCTTTCAAAGCTCATTAGACATTTATAATTATGACTGTTTAATCAACCTACCAGTTCTGAAGGAAGCAAGCTAGTGCTGTTAGATCTTGAAGCGGTCATGATTCACACACGGAGGAGGGGTGAGGTCAGCCGGGAGGTCAGGTGTTGTGAGAAATTGTTTTCCGCAGAAATATTCTGTTCCGTGTTGGGAGATCACACTTCCGGCTATTTTCATAACATTTGTGATAAACTTTTACGGGAAAATGATGTAATGTAATTGTTAGGTAATTAAATGTGGGGTAATAACCCTGGAACCTGAAATAAGACACATGACAACAAGGGAGACATTTTACCCTGAGTCCCCAAAATAATGGAGAGTTAACGCAGAGGAACCTCCTCCGAGGCTGTCCCCACGTCACTCCCATGTGCTTCCAGTTCGTCAGGGCTTTATTCACAAAGGATGGAGGAGAAGGCGGGGCCTTCTCAGGTTACAGAGGTACAGAGGTTTCTTTGGAAATCCACAGTCAACATCCTTGACTGCTACTCTGCTCAACCTTTCATGAACAGCAACAGTTGGCAAACACAGAGATTCATGAAGTGTCAATAACACAAAATGGGCAGCTTTTAGGCCTCAAAAAGGTACAATTATAAAAATACCCAACAGTAGTAATGTTCTGCTTGAGATTTTTTTTCTGCATTTCCTCCTAAAACCAATAAAAAAGATCCAGTAAAAACATTCTTGTTCACTCTTTTGCAGCAAGCTTATTTATCATTTTTGAAAGTTATGTAAAAGGATGTAATCTCACTCAGTTTAACCATCGTTTATTTGAGATAGTTTAGTCCTAAAACATTGTCCTATTAGAAAATGTCAGGTGAAGAAAAATGGTAACAGAAAACCATGGATGACTGAGAGTTTACAAAAGACACACAGAAAGAAAATGTACTATATACGAAATATTTACTATTAAAAACTAGTGAAAGTGAAAAAACATATAAACAGTATAAGAATATGTTGACCTCTATCATAAGAAGACAGAAAAAGGAGCACTATAATACATTATTAGAAGGAAGTAAAAATAATATTCAAGCGACATGGAATATTATAAATGATCTTATCAATAAAAAAATGAATAGCAATGAATTTCCTAGACATTTTTAAATTAAATGTGGTGATATTGTGGGCATTAAACAAGATGTTGCTGAAGAATTTAACAATCATTTTGCTGATGTCGGTAGAAGTCTGGCCAAACAAATTCCACATTGTGATAAAAAATTAAATATGTTTGATCATCTTATTAAGGATAATAAAGATTCATTATTTTTGGGAGGGATCAACGACGGTGATATAATAGAAACTGTTAGAAAACTTATAAGCCACGGTCAGCAACAAGATGGCGCCTGTGCTTGGCTTAGCCGCAGTCACCGGCCACTTTTTCAAACTTTTCTCCACTAACCTCCTCTTTTCCACCTTGCTCCTGTCTGCGATCCTCTTCGGTAGTGTCCCTGCTACCATCTCCTATGATCGCCAGACTCTTTTGTCCTTCCGTTCGTTCACGATCGCCCAAGATGCACCGAGGACGTACCTCCCTGTTTGTTTATCTGAGTGGTGCACTGGCCCGGAACCAATCGACGGTCCCGAGCTTTCCGTCTCCGGCTATGTTTGTCCGGTCCCGGGAAAACGTCAGAGGAAAAGAGGTAAACGAGCAGGAATCCAGGTGAGAATAAGACTTCTCTTAAAGCGTGGTTTATCTAGTAAACATCGGCATGACCTTCTAGCTTCTTGTCCTTTGGTGACCTGAGTGCCACTTCCGCATTCCCGCCAGGCCGCGTTGGGACGCGATTCATCCGTGCAAGTTTTTTAAGGTCAGTTTATCCTCCTTCCTCAGTGGTTTCTCCTCCTGTTCCCTCCATAAGTGGTTTTTATAAACACCGTGGATCTAACCCTGCTAATTTACTTCCACTAACTCCAGCTGTTTCTGTAGTTTCTGATTCCTCCACCACACTCAGCGTGGCTCTATTAAATACCCGCTCTGTTAACAACAAGTCCTTCCTGCTCAATGATCTAATTCTCTAAAAACCTGGATTTTCTGTTTCTGACTGAAGTTTGGCAACAAACATCTGATTATTCTGCTCTGGTTGAACTCTGCCCGAGTGGTTATTCTTTTCTTAGCCAGCCCGGGGGTTCTGGTCGTGGTGGAGGCCTAGCTGTTGTTTTCAGAGACCATCTTCCATGTAGCTCTACAATCTCTGGTCACTTTGCTTCCTTTGAACTGCAGCTGATTAAAGTCGGGCGTAAGGACCCGTTCTACTGTGCTGTGGTCTATCGTCCACCTGGTCCAAACAGTTCTTTCCTTCAGGAGTTTAGTGACTTTCTATCCTCCACTGTGAAGCTGTCCAGACTGGTGATTGTTGGTGACTTTAACATCCACGTTGATGATCCCTTTGATCACTTTGCCATGAATTTCTCCAGCCTTATGGACTCCTTCAGCTTTACCCAGCATGTCTCTGGCCCCACACACACCAGGGGACACACTCTGGACCTTGTTTTTACCCTGAGTCTAAATGCTGACAGTGTTTGTCCTGAGGACGTTTATATTTCAGGTCAACATTGCATTTTCTTTAACTTGTCAGTTTCTGCGTCCCCACCTCCTGCTCGCCGTATGGTTAGTTCTCGTTTTCTTAATGAGAGCACAGCTAGAAATTTTTCTGCTGCTTTTGTTCCACCCTGTTCTTCTGATAACGACCCAGATTCCTTAACTTCTCAGTTTAACGAGCACTGCCTCTCCATTCTGGACAACATCTGTCCTGTCAGAACCAGATCAGTTCCTGCAGTGAACCCTACTCCCTGGTTTAATGACAGTCTTCGCAGCCCGAAGTGCCAAAGCAGAAAAATTGAGCGTTTGTGGAAGAAAACCCACCTCCACGTCCATCTGCTGCACCTAAAGGGTCTTCTGACATCCTTTAACTCTGCAGTCAGAGATGCTAGGGTTTCTTTTTTCTCCATCCTGGTGTCCCAGCAAGGGCGTCAGTTTGTTTTCAGAATTGCTGGGGACAATAACCATACACTTGAGTGGGGTTTAAAAATTGCTGGGGTCAATAAAGTAGGCTAGCACAGGGGTCGGCGGCTCTGTAGCCGCATGCGGCTCTTCCATCCATCTGATGCGGCTCTCTGTGCTTGTAAAATAATGAATGGATATTTAAATAAAATGCTTTATATTTTACTGCATTAATTTTACATCTGTATGCCAATTCTAAATGTAAAGATTGTCTGCGTAAACCTGAACAGGTCCAACCCGGTCATACTGTGAGACCGGGTTGACGCGTCACACTTGTGCGTAATCATAGGCGCTTCCTGAGCTGGAGGATGTCAGATTCTGGGCTTCTCCTCAGACAGGCTCCTGGATGTGTCGCCACATTGGAGACAGGAAGAAGCGCTATTCAGCCAAAGTTTCATAATCAGGGAACATTTTCTAAGTGACAAGTCTCTGAGAGACCGGGTTTGGAAAACACTCGCTTCAGTGGGAGGAACCTTCTCACATGCGCTCTGGTTCTGAGAGCCTGGATTTGTATTCTGAACAGTCTAAACATGTTTTAAAAAGAAACGTATGACAAAAGTGGCACCTGCTCAGTAAAACCACCAACAGGGTGAAAAATATCAAAATATTGTAGCAGAGACGGGCTACAACTTCTGGATCATCTTTATATAAATCGTTTTATTGATTATCTTCTTATGAAAGATAACTTTGACGTACATGAGCGATCAGGCGCGTTGCAAGCTTTTCAAAAGTGTGGGGGATGTTGTCTGTGCCTAAAATAATTTGATGTTATTCATCTTGTTAGTTTAATTTCCATAATAGCGGAGCAGGTGCGAATTTTAGACGCGTCACGCATGTCTCAGTTTTAAACATGTTTAAACTGTTCATAATACAAATCCAGGCTCTGTCTCGTTAGATTGGTGTAACTAAAGTTTGTACTGAATGAAACTTTACATTAAACCATGTTGAAGAGAAAAGGATCCGATTAAATCGTTTCCCCCTCATTTACAGTCACGACGTACAGCGCAGTGCGCGTGGCTCTGGGGTTAATCAAGTTTAGTTGTTTCTCTTTGCAACAATCTTCACAAGAAGGCAAAACAGTTAAACGGCAGGTTACAGATATTTCCATTTGACTGTTTATTTTGACGGATAAACTCAAGGATGTTGGTTGTTTTGAAAGAATTACCCCAACGCACACTGATGCGCACAGATGAGCTGACATTTTAATCGTTACGCACATCGCAGAGGTAACTCGATTCCCATCAGAACATCAGAGCTTTATACTGGACACTGTGTTCAGCGCGGCTCGGAGCGCCCACGGTGGACAGTGAGCTGAAGATCTGTAGAGGGGTTTGCAGCGCAGTGCAGAACCACGGTGCATGCGATAAGATTTCCTCCCACTGAAGTGGTCTGGAAATCCGGTCTCTCTGAGGGATGTTTCACTTGGAAAAATGTTCTTTTTATGAAATTATGAAACTTTGGCTGAATAGCGCTTGTTCCCGTCTCTAATATGGAGACGCATGACGCGTAGAGACATTTGATTACACACAAAGTTCATGTGGAGCAGAAGCGGTCGGGCCACGGCAGGTGAAATGTTCCTAGCCTACATGAAGTGAAACTGTTTAACTGTAACATTAATATGT